TAAAAAGTAGAGACATCACCCTGCCAACAAAAGTCCGCATGGTCAAAGTAATGGTATTCCCAGTAGTCATGTATGGCTGCGAGAGTTGGACTATAAGGAAGGCCGAGCACCAAAGAATAGATTCTTTTGAACTATGGTGCTGGAGAAGATTCTTGAGAGTCCCTTGGGCTGCAAGAAGATCAAATCAGTCAATCCTAAAAGAAATCAACCCTGACTGTTCCCTGGAAGGCCAGATAATGAAACTGAAGCTCAAATACTTTGGCCACCAAATGAGAAGGGAGCACTCACTGGAGAAGACCCTGATGCTGGGAAAGATTGAAGGTCAAAGAAGACGGGGATGGCAAAGGGTGAGATGGTTAGACAGTGTCATAGATGCAACGAACATGAAATTGGGCAAACTTCAGAGGACGGTGGAAGACCGGAAGGCCTGGCGTGATCTGGCCCATGGGGTCACAGAGAGTCAGACTCGACTGTGCAACTGAACAACAACAAATTCGGATTTGATAAATGTTCAGGATTCCCATTTCCCCTCGGCTCCATTATACTGTATGGGAACCATTAAAGTCAGTAGTCCCAATAGGTTATAATGGAGAATTGATCTGGGGGTATCTGGGGCTCTGGGGGCTGTTTTTTGAGGTAGCAGCATCAAATTTGCAACATAGCTGCTGGTGCCTCTCTTCAACTCCCTTAGGTTTCAGAAAGATTGGACCAGAGGGGCCAAGTATGTGGGTCCCCAAAGAAGGTGCCCCCATCCTCCATTGAAACCAGTGGAGGGAGAAAAGGTGTTTAAAGGGATTGCAGTCCCTTTAAATGCCTTCTTGAAGGACTGAGTCCACCTGGAAGGCATTTAAAGGGACAGCAGTCCCTTTAAACACCGTCTTCAAGCCCTTTAACTTCGGCTATCTGGCAGTTTAAAAAATCCTGAATATTTTTGGGATTTTCAGGGACCAGCCTTTTTTGATAGCCGAAAAAATGGCCAACACTCTATCCAGCTGAAAGAGTATCCAGAAAATACCAATAAGGCATTTTTCTGATATTTTTCCAGCTCTAATTTAGTTGAACACACACCCTTAATTTGTATCTTTGACCAGGAAGTTGTATTATGTAATACAGATTTGTTATTTTAGTTTTGCAAAGACTAACAGAATAATCCTTTGCCGCGCCTGCACCACTAGTCCATTCCTGGTAGGAAAGGAGTGATTTTTGCTTTCCATGGTGCTATCGTGATAGTGTCCCTAGCAACTGCACCACTGTGTTTCATGGAGGTGGTGTTGAGAGACGGCAGGGACATGATTAACAGGTAGCCAGAATTAATGGTGGGGTCAGCAGGCGCAATGGTTGTGCCAGGTGCCTGTCCCAGCTTAGGGCCGGAGAGGGATGGGGTATATGAGGCTTGCCTGTTGTCAGCGGCACATCCCTCCACTCCCTTAAAGGGATCAAGTCCCTTTACAAGCCCTGGTCACCAGACGGTGGAGCAGGGATTCTAGCAGCACCCCCCTCATGGACCCCAGAAACTGCCTCTGCCCGCACTGAGCCTGAATCCCATGGAGGGGTCCAGTCAGCAGTCCATGCGGGTGTCCTCTGCTCATCAGCCGTGCCAATCCCTGTGCCACCCCTGCAGGAGGTGGAGCAGGAGAAGTGCTGGTGGGGTATGGATGGGGAGCCTGAAGGGCCTCTAAAAGATCCCCCAGCAGCCTCTCGATGCACCTCTGTCCCTCCCCATGCCTTTCATGACAGCAAGCAGTCCCTTCAGGTGCCTGGCAGCCGCTTGTCACAGATGCCGCGAGCCCTTGCTGTCCCCTGGAAAAGACCTCCTGCCAATCGCAGTGGCTTTCTAGCTGCTCCGACTCAATCACTGCCCACATGGCTGATAGGATGGGGTCATGCATGGGATGTCAGGCATGGTCTAGGGGCCGAAGTTCCCACCATTGTCCAGGCCACCTGTGGCCAGCACACCTCAGTTCAGAGAGTGTGGCTCACACTTGCCATCCATACCCCCCAAGTGTCTGGCAGCCCAGCTCCTCTGCCATCTGAAGACATTGAGTCCGCTCGCTGGCCCAATGAGGTACCCCGTGTCTGCAGGTTCATGGAGGCCATCGTGGCCACCTCCACACCCTGACCCTGAGGCAGACTCCTTGGCAACCCTATCAGAAGGAACATATATTTTAATGCTTTGGAGTCCTGGTAAATGGGGAAGATACATACTCCTTTTTGCAACAGCGTCATCAGAAACTTATTAGTTGTTGTAGATTTTCTGGGATGTGTGGCCGTGGTCTTGGCACTGTAGAACCTGACGTTTCGCCAGTAACTGATTGGCATCCTCAGAGGTATAAACACAGAAAGATGGAATACTCTCTGTGCCTTCGACAACATATCAGAAACTTAGATTTTCCTGGCATATTGCTTTGATGCTACCATAGAGCAAAACATGATGATTTTCATAGGTTTCAATATTGTTTGTAATGTCAGTCTTTCAGTATATAATGTATTTAAAAGGAAAGTTATATTGGATCGGATTCAGATGGTAATTTCGAGCATTCCTGTCTTATGTCGGCAGTCACCTCTTATCTCTGGCTTCAGTTGGAGAATAGTAAAAACTGCCATCTCTGCTCCACTGGCCTCTTAAATATGAGCAGTCCCACTTTACCATGACCGTATTGTTTTATTTTAGGGAGACAAGACTGCTTTGAGGACTGTTAAGATTTATGTTTATTGTTGTTAAGAGACTTGCTGAGGATGGGAGCTTTTAGTTTTGAAAGCTCATACTCCGAAAATCTTGGACTCAGATCTAGCTGTTCTACTGCAAATGGATCAAGTACCTGAAAGGCTAGTTACATACAAAGTAAAGGACCAATAACTAAAAAACTATAATTATACCATAAATATTATCAAAAGTACATGTATTTATTATCAATTAATTAAAAACAATACAGAATAAAAGGGTACAATATACACAAGTGGGACTTATTGTGACCAGACGCATTTTGGGCAAAGTGGCCTTCTTCAGTGGTCAAGCATACCAGTGGTCAAGTACATACAGGCTCAATGATACAATAATAAGACAATAAGTTAATCAATGTAGGACCAAAAAAGGAGTTTTATCATTACAATCAATTGATGCAAGGCTGGAGAATATTGGTGAGGATTCATAGAGTATAGCCTTGTGTCATGATCAGTTATATGTCCTGAATAATCTTACTATTGTAATTTTGGTCCAGAAGGTACAGTCAGATCAGAGCCAATGTACCAAATGTTGTGCATGAGCAGTCCATTTACATGATTATGGGTGAAGACAAAAAAGGAACTCCCACTATGAGGCTAAAGTTAAAGGGTACTTATCTTTTTGAAGTTGTAATTAAACATATTTTCAACATACTACTATGAATCTACACTGGCAATCGTTGGCTTTTGTTTCTGTGGCATGGCATAATTGCCTCTTGAGTTGATAGGTAATATTCAGAACCGTTTGTCTAGTTCGTTGGACCGCTTCATAATAGGTGTCTGCTTTTGCAGGTGTCAGTTTCACCATTCCTAGCCTGCAGGTGTCTTTTCATATGTTTATGTTGTTGCCCTGTCATTTTAATGCAGTGTGTCACCCTGAAGGTTGATGAGAAGGTAAATAAATTGACCTGTTTCACTTGTACATGTTGACTACTAGATAATAAAAGCTAGGGTTTTTCTAGCTATAAGACTTTGCTATTTTAATTGTCAGTAGCTTCCTCATTTTTTGGCACCGTGGAACAAATATTTATCTTCTGTTGAACAGTTTTCCAAATCAGACTGCATCTATAGTTTCTGAATACAGACCTTATCCAAAACCTCAACCTACAAAGTCCTAAGGAGACATCTTGAATTATATTGCATATAGTCTTGGGTTGGCATGTCTTGTATGAACTTCATTTGGTAGTTCTAAATTGGAGAATATGGAACAGAAGACTTTCAGGTGTTTTGCTTCTTTCTTGGACACGAGCAGTGGTGTATATATGAACAATGATTGCATATACTTGAGCTATTTCTCCTTTCTCCAAGTTGGCATTTAGTTAAGTCAGCTCTGTCGTGTTGGGTATTGGTATCTTGATGAGCTTTTAAATGTCATTTGTATCTCTGTTTTTTTGCTTTAAATTTTTTGGGGTCATCTATGCAAAAGTACTAGGGAAAAGTCTCCTATTGTGTAATTAAATTTTTGCAGTTACAGTATTTGCACCCTCTTAAGATGTGGCAGTAGAAAAGAGCAAGAGTCCAGTAGCACCTGAAGAAGTCAGCAGTGAATCACAAGAACCTTGCCACAAATTTTGTTAGTCTTTAAGGTGCTATTGGACATTTGTTCGTTTCTACCGTTACAGACTAACATGGCTACCCATGTTGATCTATCTTAAATTGTGGGACACTGTTGTGAACTATGGAGCAGAGCTGCTTCATGGAGGAGAGGTTCTAATATCAGTCTCTGAATTCCCCTGCCCATCTCTGTGGGAAACATAGACCACATAGTAATCTTTTGGAGAGTCTTGTAAGATACCATACATTAAAACTGGAAGTCTGTTGATATGTAATGATAAACTTTTGCTTTTCTTCTTTGTAGATGAGAGAGTTGATAATTGATATAACTTCCAATATTAAAATTTTAGTTTAAAAAAGAGGGTAGTTTAAAGAACCTGTAAAGAAAAGAGAACAAAATGGATGTATGTTATCTTTCCCTAGTTTTGAGCAGGGACTGTGGATTAGTGTTAGAGCACCTAATTTGCATACAGAAGGTCCCAGGTTCAATGCCTGGCCCCTCAAGTTAAAAGGATCATGTTGTAGGTGAACCCCTTTGCCTGAGACCCTGAAGTGCTGCTCCTAGTCAGAGCAGTCAGTATTGACCTTGATCCATATTGAAGCCTTATGTGGAAATGGAGCTAAAATTCTGAAGTCTGATTTGGAAATAATTTTTGTAACTGGTTATGTGACTGGAAAATGTGAATTGTGTTACTGATTTTGTTTTTTTGTTTTTTGTTTTTCAGGTGGGCTGTTGAGCTGTCAGTCTGCAGCTGAACAGCATGCAGTCCTTTCGGGAGCAGAGCAGTTACCACGGAAACCAGCAGAACTATCCGCAGGAAGTGCATGGTGCATCTCGGCTAGAAGAATTTAGCACCCGTCAGCAGGCTCAGATGTTCCAAAGCTTTGGAGGGGGTGGCAGCAGCAGCAGCAGCAGCAGCAGTGGGCGCCGTGGAGCAGCAGTGAGCTCTGCATCAATGGCTGGTGAGAGCTCTGGACATCAGAACTATCAAGGTTTCAGAAAGGAAGCAGGTGAATTCTACTATATGGCCTCCAGTAAGGATCCTGTGTCAGCTGGAGGACAGCAACATCCACAGCGTAGGCCTTCTGGGCCGGTGCAGAGTTATGGACCACCCCAAGGTAGCAACTTTGGGAGTCAATACGGAAGTGAGGGTCATGTGAGTCAGTTTCAAACACAACACTCCTCCCTTAGTGGGGTGACTCACTACCAACAGGATTATACTGGTCCTTTCTCCCCTGGAAGTGCTCAGTACCAACAGCAGACTTCCAACCCGCAGCAGCAACAGGTGCAGCAGATGAGACAACAGCTCTACCAATCACATCAGCCTTTATCTCAGGCATCCAACCAGTCTGCATCCAGCACATCTCATTTGCAGTCAATGCAGCGCCCTTCAGCCCTGCCTTCATCTTCTGGTTATCAGTTACGAGTTGGTCAGTATAGCCAACACTATCAGCCTCCTGCTTCTTCCTCGTCTTCATTTTCTTCTCCTCAGCGTTTTGGCCAAACTGGGCAGAACTATGACAGTAGTTACAGTGTGAATGCTGGCTCACAGTATGAAGGACATCCTGTGGGTTCAAGTGCACAAGCTTATGGGACTCAATCAAATTACAACTTTCAGACACAGCCAATGAAGAACTTTGAGCAGTCAAAGTTGCCCCAAGGAGGTCAGCAGGCACAAGGACAGGCACAGGCACAGGCACAGCAACAGCCTTCCTCACAGCATGTTATGCAGTACTCAAATACTGCTGCCAAGATGTCTCTTCAAAGTCAAGTGGGGCAGTACAACCAAGCTGACGTCCCTGTGAGATCACCCATGCAATTCCATCAAAATTTCAGTCCTATATCTAACCCTTCACCAGCTGCTTCTGTGGTCCAGTCTCCTAGCTGCAGCTCAACACCATCTCCTCTTATGCAAGGTGGAGAGAATCTTCAATGTGGACAAAGTAACATACCTGTGGCCTCTAGAAACCGCATTTTGCAGATGATGCCTCAACTTAGTCCAACACCATCTATGATGCCAAGCCCCAATGCTCAGGGTGGAGGATTCAAGGGTTTTGGTCTTGAAGGATTGCAGGAGAAGAGGCTTACAGATCCAGGACTAAGCAGCCTAAGTGCCCTAAGTAGTCAAGTGGCTAATCTTCCCAATACAGTCCAGCACATGTTACTCTCTGATGCTTTGGCACCTCAAAAGAAGAGCTCCAAAAGATCTTCATCGTCTAAAAAAGCTGATAGCTGCACAAACTCAGAAGGCTCCTCCCAGGCCGAAGAGCAACTCAAATCTCCTTTAGCAGAGTCCATTGACGGTGGGTGCTCCAGTAGTTCAGAGGATCAAGGTGAGAGGGTGAGGCAGTTGAGTGGTCAAAGCACCAGTTCCGACACTACTTACAAAGGGGGTAACTTGGAGCGATCCCACTCCTCACCGGCACAAGCATCTCAAAATGAGCCCACAAAGCTCAGCACCAGCCCTGCAGATGAGGAAGAAGAGGCCTCCCCACCTGTTGAAAAAGAGACTTTGGTAGCTGTGGAGACCACTCCAAAGGTCAATGAAAAGGCAGTTGGTGTGATAGTCTCTCGGGAGGCTATGACAGGAAGAGTAGAAAAGTCAAGCAGTCAGGATAAATCTCAACAAGATGATGTTCCTACAGGTGCTCAAGCACTTCCTTCTGCCAGTGGGGTAAAAGAGCCAGGTCATATGGGGCCACAGCAAGAGCCACAAGGAGGGAGTAAAGGGAACAAGAGTGGGGACAGCAGCACGAACCACAATGGAGATGGGAATAGCCAACCTGGCCATGCTGTCATTGGCTCTGGGTTTTCTGGCAGAACAGAGCCTTCTAAATCCCCTGGCAGTTTAAGGTATAGTTACAAAGACAGTATAGGGGTTAGTGTGCAGAGAAATACTGGCAACTTCCCTCAGTATCCTTTAGGGCAGGATAAAGGGGATTTTCCAGGGCATAGTGAACGAAAGGGACGGAGTGAAAAATTTCCCAGTCTGTTGCAGGAAGTCTTGCAGGGATATCACCATCACCCTGACAGAAGATATTCTAGAAATGCACAGGATCATCATGGAATAACTGGAAGTCTTGAAGGTACTATGCGACCAAATGTTCTGATTAGTCAAGCCAATGAATTAAGCAATAGAGGTCTTTTAAACAAAAGCATAGGATCCCTCTTGGAAAATCCACACTGGGGCCCCTGGGATAGAAAGTCAAGTGGCACAGTTTCTGAGATGAAACAGATAAATCTGGCTGATTATTCTGTGCCTAGAAAGTTTGAGATGGAATCCCAGTCTTCAGCTCATGAAGGAGGAGGTCTTTCTGAGAGACGATCAGTTATTTGTGATATATCTCCTCTGAGGCAAATTGCCAGAGATCCAGGGCCTCATTCTGTTGGGCACATGAGTGCTGATGGCAGGAGTGGAAGGAGTGACCGTCTAACTCCTGGTTTAGGTCAGTCAGTTATACTGCCTGGTGGCCTAGTGTCCATGGAAACTAAGCTGAAGACTCACAGTGGGCAGATCAAAGAAGAGGAATTTGAACAGTCCAAGACCCCTGCCAGCATGAACAATAAAAAATCAGGAGACCACTGTCATCTTGCCAGTTTTAAGCATGAGTCTTACCGAGGGAATGCTAGCCCTGGAGCTGCAGCTCTTGATTCTGCATCAGACTACATGTTGCAACAGGATAGCCGATCGGCACAACTGAGGCGAGGACCTGGCAGAATGGGAAGTAGCCGGGAGGGAATGAGGGGTAAATCTCCATCTCAATTCCATGATCTGGCAGACAAACTGAAGATGTCACCAGGTAGAAGCAGAGGGCCAGGGACAGATCTTCACCATCTGAATCCTCACATGGTACTCTCTGACAGGGTCAATCGGAGTTCCTTGCACTCTCCTTTCCCCCCCAATTCTGAAAGCTCATCTTTGGCTTCAGCATATCACACTAACACTCGCCCTCATGCTTTTGGTGATCCTACCCAAGTGCTGAATTCTCAGTACCACTACAAAAGGCAGCTATACCAACAACAGCAAGAAGAATACAAAGACTGGAGTAGCACCTCTGCCCAGGGGGTGATTGCAGCAGCTCAGCATAGGCAGGAATCAGCAAGAAAGAGCCCAAGGCAGCAGCAGTTCATGGACAAAGTAAGGAGTCCTTTAAAAAATGACAAAGATGGAATGATGTATCTCCATTCTGGTTCCTACCATGATGCAGGAAGCCAAGAAGCTGGCCGTTGTTTGTTGGGAAATGATGGCACTCTTCAGAATAAGTGTGCTGAAATGAAGCATATGAACCAGAAGATTCCGCAACATGAATCTGGTTGGGATCTCTCTCGGCAGGTGTCTTCAGGTAAAAACAGTGGATCTTTAGGGGCAGCCAGTCAGAAGAGATTTGGTCCTCAAGATGGTGATACGCATAGACGTGATGATGCTGGAGATGTACTTAAATCTGGTAATGCCATGGTAAGGATCCCTGGCCAAGAAGATCAGTCTCCTCAAAATCCTTTAATCATGCGGAGGAGAGTCCGCTCTTTCATTTCACCTATTCCAAGTAAGAGGCAGTTGCAGGAGATGAAGAATAGTGGCACTGACGACAAAGGGCGCCTGCTTTCATCATCAAAGGATGGCACTGACAGAGCATTCAACTCCTACGTCCACTCATCCCAGAACCAGGATGCTGGCAAGTCACTCCAAAAAGGAGAATCTTCTAGGAACCTTTCAGGTCCTGATAACAGAAATTGCTCTGCTGTTTCCCTCACAAGCCCAGCTAAAACAAAAATCCTGCCTCCACGGAAAGGACGTGGATTAAAATTGGAAGCTATTGTTCAAAAAATCACATCTCCCAATGTTCGGAGAAGTGCTTCTTCAAACTGTGCTGAAACTGGTGCAGATGCGGTCACCCTTGATGACATTCTGTCCCTGAAAAGTGGTCCTCCTGAAGGTGGGAATGTTGCTAGTCATGGGATGGAGGCAGAAAACATAAAAGAAGAAATTGTGTTAGATCAAGAGAGCCAAGAACTGACCGGTGAAGTGACAGTATCTTCTGAAGAGTGGCATGGTGATGGACATGAGTTAGTGAAAAAGGAGTCCTTGGAACTTGCTACTGTTGGCAAAGAGGGCTGCATATCTACTGTGGTCCCAACACCATCACAAAAATCTGTTGGTCAAGGAAGAACAGATGGATCCCTAACTGGAACAGGATCTTTGAGCTTTTCTGAATCAAAAACAGTATCCCCATCCAGTGTCTTGACTCCTGAACTAAATCCAAAGATTGAAGAGAAAGATGGTGATGCAGTTATTATGACACCCAAACCAGATCCCTTCCCCCCAAAAGGGTATTTTCCTTCTGGTAAGAAGAAGGGGAGGCCTATTGGTAGCGTGAATAAGCAGAAAAAACAGCAGCAACAGCCACTTTTATCAGTACCAGTAACACCTCAGCCATTGGAGGCAGCAGAAGATGGAGAACCGAAGCCTAAGAGACAGCGGAGGGAGAGGAGAAAAACCACAACACAGCCACGGAAACGGAAACCAAGACGAGCTGCTCCGATTGTGGAACCTCAGGAACCAGAAATCAAACTGAAATATGCCACCCAGTCTGTTGATAAGACTGATACCAAGAATAAGTCCTTTTTCCCCTATATTCATGTTGTAAACAAATGTGAGATAGGTGCTGTGTGCACAATAATTAATGCAGAGGAAGAGGAGCAGAATAAACTGGTGAGGGGCCGAAAAGGACAGAGGTCATCAACACCTCCTCCCAGCAATGTTGAGAGCAAAGTGTTGCCTACATCCTCTTTCATGCTACAGGGTCCTGTTGTCACAGAATCTTCTGTTATGGGCCACCTGGTCTGCTGCCTGTGTGGCAAGTGGGCCAGCTATCGCAACATGGGTGACCTCTTTGGACCTTTCTATCCCCAGGATTATGCAGCCACGCTGCCCAAAAACCCCCCTCCCAAGAGGTCCACAGAAATGCAGAATAAGGTCAAGGTCCGGCATAAAAGTGCTTCTAATGGTTCCAAGACAGATACCGAGGAAGATGAGGAAGAGCAGCAGCAGCAAAAGGAGCAAAGAAGCCTGTCCGCCCATCCTCGCTTCAAGAGACGGCATCGCTCTGAGGACTGTGCCGGGGCCTCTCGGTCCCTTTCGAGAGGTGCTGCTTGTAAAAAAGCAACCACTGAGGGTGGCAGTGTTGGTGAAAAAACTCCTTCAGACTCTAAACCCCCCATGTCCATTTCTGAAGGTGGCCCTGAATTGGAGTTACAAATTCCTGAACTACCTCTTGACAGCAATGAATTTTGGGTCCATGAGGGCTGTATTCTCTGGGCCAATGGGATTTACCTGGTCTGTGGCAGGCTCTATGGGCTGCAGGAAGCTGTGGAAATAGCTAAGGAGATGGTGAGTACTATGAATTAATGCTGCATTGTTTCTTATACAACCAGTTTCATGATGTTTCCCATCTTCTGCTTGTCTCATCTTCACCATGTTGTCAGTGTGCAAATACCATTGTAATTGTGTTCTATAGATACTGAGAACGAATTGTCAATTTATGTTGCCTTTTTTAAAATTCAGGTGTACAAATTTGTTTTGCGTACAATCTATCTTGGTGGTCTGTACGAAGTATACTGGCAACTTCTGAAAAACTAGGTGCTCTCAGTGGTTTTAAATTATGTGCTGTCACTAAAATAAGGGATGGGTTGTTGGTGAATAAGACAAATTTGCAGCACTGCAGAGCTATTCATTCCCCTTTCTGCCTTTTAGCACCTGCACTACTTCTTAGATTTCTAGGTTTTTTCTTCTCTCTATCACAGTGAAACTGAAAGAGTTGTATTTTATGAGGAAACAGTTATTCTTCCCTGCTTTTCAGGGACAGGCTTATATAGGATACCTGAATTAGAATGCAAAGTGTACCTGTGAGGAGACTTCTTATGCAGTGCAAAAGCTTAGTGGAACTAGGCTCTGTGTAGTCAGGATAGATGGTGCAGGTCACTTTCTCATGAAAGATGTGGACGAAGTTATTTAATTCTGTTCTGAATCTGTGCTCCAAAACAAATGCTTTTGAGACTATCAAGATGCTGTAGATTTAAAAATTGGTTCATATTTTAAATTTAAAGAATTTAATCACAGATTGTAATCACTGAGGAATTGTAATCACTGATGAAAGGGCAGATTTATTTTAAAATGTAAAACTATCTTGTAGATAAGTCTCAAACATTGACTAGCTCACAAAGCACATTATTAGCTTTCCTTCCTGTGTACAGCCTCTCTCAGAATCTGCCTAGTTTTGAGTATTAGATATAAGCCTTTCGCTGGAAATGTGAGGGAAAGGCAGTACACATGAGCAGAGTTCTCTCTAAATTGTGCTAGGGGCCACTGGCGCATAAAATTTTAACTTCCAGCTCAGGGAATTTAGCTTCAGCTCACATTAAGGCATTTCCCCTCCATTGGAAACAGTGGAGAATGGAGGTACCTCCTTCTGGGGCCCACAGAATTGGACCTCCTTGTCCAATCTTTTTGAAACTTGGTGTTTTATTTTAGGATAGGCATCAGCAGCTGTGCAAATTTGGTGCCTGTACCTCAGAAAGCAGAGCCCCAGATAACCCCAGGTCAATTCTCCATTATAACCTATGGGGCCCAATGACTATAATGATCCCCATAGGCTATAATGGAGCTAGAAAAATAGTGTTTTTTTACACATCCCTGTTATGCTTTTCAGTTTGATTTGTAAACTGCCTTGAATCACAGGAAAAGTTGGATATAAGTATTTGAACAAATAAGTAGTTTGGGCAGGTTGATAACTTCCTACTTGTGAGGTTAGGCAAGGTTCTGACAGTGATTGTTCCTCCTCTTTTATATTTTACCTGTAATGTGTCATATTTCACTAAAAAAAAAACCCCTCCAAAATTCTAACAGTGATTGTTCCTCCTCTTTTATACTTTACCTGTAATGTGTCATATTTCACTAAAAAAAACCCCTCCAAAATAGACTGGAAGTGTTTTCCCACCCTAAGTGCTGGCATGTTTTCTAAGGCTTGGTGCAAGGTGACAGTCTGAGCCCAGGTCTACCAATATAGTGGACTGGGGTAGGTAGATCTGTTCTCCAGAGGCCTGGTTCTAATCCCATAGAGGACAGCATTTTCTGTAATGAAATTTGACTTGATCCTGTTTTCTCTTATAATTTTTAAATTGTTCTTAAGATGTAGTTTAAATATAGTTTAAAATAATTCTGAGATTTTTACAAGGTTATCGAAATAATCTAAAAAACTAGTTCATGAGATAGTCAAATGTAGACTGACTGACAACTTCAATGCTACTAGCTTTTTTTGCTCACAAAGTCGCATTTTTGCTCACAACACTGTGGAACTTAGAGGGAACATTGTGAGGTCTCTGTATAGAACATAAGAGAAGCCAATGTTGGATCAGGCCAATGGCCCATCCAGTCCAACACTCTGTCACACAGTGACCAAAAATACCAGGTGCCATCAGGATATCCAGCAATGGGGCCAGGGCACTAGAAGCCCTCCCACTGTTCCCTCCCCCCCAACCACCAAGAATCACTTGCCCCAGACTGAGAGTTCCTATCTATACCTTGTGGCTAATAGCCACTGGTGGACCTCTGCTCCATATGTTTATCTAATTCCCTCTTGAAGCCATCCATGCTTCTAGCCACCACCACCTTCTGTGGCAATGGATTCCATGTGTCAGTCACTAGCCTGATACCCATGCTTTGCTACAGTATTTAAGCTCCGTAAATCCAGTTGTAATACTGATGATGTGAAGTTTAAAAGGTAACATTTGTTGTAGGAATTCTAATGGAGAAGATTGTAGTGCAAAGGATGAAGTGAGACATACATACAGTTTTCCCCCCTCTACTGAAAGACCTCTCTGTAGACCACAGTGGTGGTTCTGCCTCAGGTGCTAGGATCACCAGGCTGCTTGGTGAGCTCACTCTGGAGCAGGCTCCTAGAAAGGTCTTTTACTATCTCCCCATGAACATTCATAAACTCAATTGCCATGCTGGCTGTTATGAGAAATGTCTATTCAGGAGTCTTGAATTGCTGGTTTCTGTAACTATCCTCAACTGTTTGCAGTCTCTTTTTAACTATGTTTTTACCTCAGAACATTGAGATCCACAGCTGAGCAATCAGAGAGAGGTGGGTGCAAGCAGGCAGGTTTTACCTCAGAACTCTGAGCTACACAGTTGACCAATCCGGGGGGTGGCGTGACGCAAGCAGCCGGCCAGACAAATGGGAAACAATTGGGGGAACACAGTTTGCCCCTTTTTTACCCCCCTAGGGGTTGTGTTTCTCAGAAATCTCTTCGCAGTGGGGGTTGATGTCATGGTACGAATACACTCCCCTTATTTTGGGTATCTAGGTGCAGGGGTTTGGCCTGGGCATTGGATTTTTTTTGGGGTGTGTGGAGGGCATACCTTTTTTAAAACAAAAATGCTTCTGATTTATGTTACATTTAAGAAGTGGGACATAACTATGTATTCAAAACAACATCCGAGCAATCAGATATTGGGCAAGTTCATATGAACCAATTTTCTAGAACCCACATTGTGAGAAGTTAAATAAAGGAAACCACTTTTCTACAAATTTGGGGTATATTTCCATAGTGGGTGGGAGTGTGGCTAAGCTGGGCCAGGAGCATCGCTAAGGTGATCCTGCTGGGGCAGCCTCCCTGATGGATTAAGTACCTTGGCCCTGCTCCTACACCTGACAAACCCCGGCCTGTCGGGTGTCGGGGGGGGGAGGATTGTGTTTAAAGGCATCAGGGAGGCTGGGCCAGCGGCAGCACTAAGGAAATCCTGCTGAGCAAGCCTCCCTGATGGCTTTAAGGACTCCGTGCCCCTTCCAACCCTTGACAGGCAGTTGTCTGTCAGGTGTTGGAGGGTTAGCGTGTCTGAAGGCATTGTGGAGACCGGGCCAGCAGAATTGTTAAGGAGATGCTTGGGCAGCCTCCCCGATGGCTTTCAATGCTCTGCCCCTGTTCTTGCACCTGACAGACAACCACCTGTCAGGTGGAGGAGGGGTGGGTGGGAGTGTGTCAAAAACCACTGGGGAGGCTGGCCCAGCAGCATTGCTAAGGTGTTTCTGTTCGGGCAGCCTCCCTGATGGATTAAAGTACCCTGGCCCTGCTCCTACATCTGACAGATACCTGCCTGTCTGGTGTTGAGGGGGGGAGTGTGTTTAAAGGCATCAGTGAGGCTGGGCCAGTAGCAGCGCTAAGGCAATCCTGCTGAGCAAGCCTCCCTGACAGCTGTAAGCATCCCACCCCCTCTCCTACATCTGACAGGCAGCTGCCTGTCCAGTGTAGAAGGGGGAGGGGTGGGGTATTGCAAGCCATTGTGGAGACTGGACTGGCAGGATTGCTAAGGCATTACTGCTGGGACGGTCTCCCTGATGGCTTTAAGCACCCTGCATTTGCTGCTACATCTGACAGACAACTGCCTGTCAGGTGTAGGAGGTGGTGGGAACATGTTTGAAACCATGGGGAGGCTGGGCCAGCAGCATTGCTGCACCTCACAGGTGGTTATTGGCCATTCCTGATTTCCTCAACTGTCATTAGATCTCTGAAGTCTCCTGTAACTGTTTTTTTTTAACCTCAGAACACTGAGATCTGCAGCTGACCAATCAAAGAGTGGGGGGTGCAAGGAGGCAGCAGTCTGGCAGCCACATAGGAAGTAATGGGGGGAGCACATTTTACCCCTTTTGACCCCCTTAGGGGTCAAATTTATAAAAATCACTTCTTAGTGAGCATCCATGTCATGGTAGGAGTGCTCTCCCCAAATTTCGTGTTTCTAGGTCCAAGGAATTGGCCTGGGCATTGGTTTTATGGTGAGGGGACTTTATTTTATATATATAGATAGATGGAGTAAAACATGTTTAAATAAAAATAGTGGAGAGAAGCATAAAAAAACCCCTAGCTGCGCTGGAGCCAATTTGCTCTGAAAGATGAGTGAAAGATTACCAAGCAAGCCTGAGGTAGTTAAGTTTTTTTCTGAATTTTTCAACTGATCTTAAGCCAGAGCTTTGTATTACGCAACTCTTTAAAGTTAGTATCGAGATTGTAAATGCTTTAGTCTCCATCTGCACTAAGACTTGTCCACCAGATTCAGTAGATCTAAATGATCATTACTATGCAGGTGTGAAGACCCAGGAAAAGCAAACCATTTCTTCCCCAGGAGGACTTTTAGGGATCTCTTGGGGGGGGGGGGAACCTCCTATGAAATATATTCTCTCTTGGAATGAGAAAATGCATGTTAAGAAAAGTTGTTACTGACTCAAAATATGTAGTATGAAGCATTACATAGTGATGATCCTTGTGTTTCCTGTAGACACGTAATGTATTTGCAAATATATGTTCATTATTTGAATGTGACTAATTTGTCCA